TTTGGGTCCCTGGACCCAATTCCAAAGTGTGTTGGGGGGAGGGGGGTCTTCTCACACATAACACCAAGCAATTCTCAAACACCAGCAGGATGTCCAAGACCTCAATTCTGAGGCTATCTGCCCAGAAACAGCACCAGATTCCCCAGGTTAAGGGCTCTGTCTGTTAGAAATGGCATAAAACTAAATATGAGCAATTAACATTTAAACAAAAGGGTACTGACAAGAAGCCTACATGTCAGAACAGTCACTGGCTGGGAGAGTGGGGGAGATAAAGAGCAGGCTGTGCAACACTTCAGAAAAAGTTTTGAACCAGCTGATAAAATTAAGACAAATGTAAAAAAGCTTAATATAGATATAACCTGCTTAGGCCATGTCCAGGAAAGAATGTGAACCCTGTAGTACTCAGCCAATGAGGAACTAGGGGAGGGACTTGCATGCTACAGAATAAACTGCTTGTTGTAACTGTCCTGAGTGTACCTGCTCACCAGACACCTGATCTTGCAAGACCGCCATTAAAGCCTTGCTCTACTGTTCTCTTTGTCTCCATGTCCACTTACTGAGTTCAGACCAGTGAGAGTATTTCTCAAATGTACTATAAAACTACCCTCTACCTCCCCACTTCAGGTGCCAGTCGCAAGCCCCAGGCAGTTACCTGTGCTTCTGACCTACCAGCTACAGGTTACAGGTTCCAACAACCTCCCCTGTGCATTTGATTAATTTGCTAAAGTGACTCAGGGAACTCAGGAAAATACTTAGGTTTACTAAAGGATATTGTAAAGGATACAAGTTAACAGTAGGATGAAGAGACACATAGGGCAAGGTCCCAAATAAAAAAAACTTCTATGCTCTTGTAGCTTGGGGCCTGGCTTAGTGGCATGTGAGAGCTTTCTGGTTCCCCAAGCACAGCAGCTCTCCCCAAACAAGTAGCAGGATGCAAGAGAGCAAATGTGCTCTTCTCATGGGTTTTTGGCTCATTGACGGGAACTTGCAAGCTCAAATAAGAGATCTCAGTGGCCCCTCCTACTTATCTGAAGTAGGACAGAGAGTGAAGACTTGTGCTTAAAGTCTGGAAAACAGAATGAAATAGCAAAGTGACAAAGATACCTGTGGGTAAAATTGTAGTATTTCCAGAATATCTTGCATCTGCATTTCATCTTTAGTGCATATGCATTTCAACAGGCGTTTCTCAGGGGTGGAGAGGGTTCACTTCTGTATTAATGGGTACTTACCTGGGCAACCAAGTGCTTATCTGAACCTGAGAGGTTAGGGGGAGGTGCTGGCTTGCTTCTGCCAGAGCAGGGAAAAAAGAGACAGCCCTGGACTGCAGTTTGTAAGCAATAAATGGGTTTTAAACTTTATTTCTCCCTTTGACTGATTTCAATTTTAGAGGTATTTTGCCCTGGGATTTCCTCTCCCTGGACTTATAATACCACTGGAAGAGCACAGAGACAAAATAAGTTGAGCAGTAAGAAGTCTTTTAAAAATATACACTCCAAGAAAGGAGAGTACGGGCAACCTCAGAGAAGCGCACTTAAGAGCTTAGGCCTCTGTCTTTTAAGGCTTTCAAGAATGGGATAAAGGTAAAGGGTTGGGGGGTGTAGGCTTGTCATGCGGTCTTATGATGTCTATCTCCAGTGAGAGATAATATGTCATCATCTATAGTCTGTCCTCTACATTATTCTGTAGGATAAACTTCTTGCTCTTCTCTAAGTGGCTACTCCCCAAGCACTCGGGACATATCAGTTAAGACTGTTTACCATGCCCTAAGATAGGTTCTTGGCTGATTACCAAAGAATATGCCAGGAATCTACCATCCCAATTCTCTTTTAAAATGGAATCTTAGTCTTAAGATAAGCCCCTCCTGTTTTATTATGCTATTCATATCTTGGCATTTTTTTAGGAAAATGAATCATGATGCTTGTCCCCTGTCTCTGCACTAAATAACTTATATTAGCTAGAGCACATCTCAGGGTCAGCCCAGATTCAGAGCATGTGGAATAAAATAACACTGCAAAGGGTGTTAACTCTGTGAGTCTTTTCTGGCTCTCTGGCTTTATCTGATTAACTCCCTGAGTTCGTGGTGGGTCCCACCCTCTTTTCACCTCACTCCTATCTGTCTAACAATCTGAATATCCAAATATGTATTCCTTATGACTCATTATATAGCATTCCCCCAAATGATCTAAAAATTCAACTCAATCTCAGTCAAAATCCTAGCAGGGTTTTTGTAGAAATTGACAGGTTGATTCTAAAATAGGGAAATACAAAGGAGCCAGGACAACCAAAACAACTTTGAGAAAGAACAAAGTTGGAGGATTAACACTGATACAAATCTACAGCAATCAAAACAGTGTGGTACTCAGATAGGGCAAGGATTTAGGACAAGCATCACGATTAACTTTTCCAGCCTATGATGAAAAATGCCAAGATATAAACAGTATAGTAAGAACAGGAGGGACTCCATCTTAAGGCTAAGATACCATTTTAAAAACCAGGGAGTTAGGAGGTAAGATTCCTAACATATTCCTTGGTAATCAGCAACAACTTAACTTAAAGCAAGGCAAGCAGTCTTAACTGATATGTTCCCAGTGCTTGAGGGAAACCACTATGTTGGAGAAGAACCAGATCAATCAATTCCTTGTGTTAAGTTTATCTTATAGAATTATCTGGAGGACTGATTATGGATAATGACATAATGTCTCTCACCAGAGATAGACATCCTGAGACTGTATGACAAGCCTATAGCTGCCCCAGAATCTTGTTTTTTAAGAGAGCCTTCTCGCTAAGGTTGCCTGCGCTCCTCTTTCTTCGAGTCTGTACTTTTTTAATAAAGCCTTCTCACTGTTCAACTTACTGCATTTTGTCTCTGTGCTTTTCCAGTGGTAAGTGTCTTTGTCACTTTGCTATTCCACTGTATTTTCCAGACATAAGCACAAGTCTTCACTCTGTCTCTGTTCTATTCCAGGTAAGTAGGGAGGGGTCTACCAAGAGCTCTGATTTGGGCTTGCAAGTTCCCATCGTCTGGATGACCTCAACAGGACTGCACCTGTACCACCATGCTCTTTAGTAGCCTGCCCAAAAATCTCCTTTTTTGCCTTTGGTGAGTTCTCAGAACATAATCTCACTCCATCCAGTGCTCTGCAGCTCCCCCAAATCCTGGGATGGTAGGGGCTTAGTACCCACGCCATGCAGATCCAAGTGGACACTGGATACCAGGTGACCCTGGCTTTAGGATTTGGCAAGGGATTTACTAAATTCTAAGGAGTTTAATGAGTTTCCCTTCCGTTTCTCTGCTCTTCCTTGCTCTCTGCTGCCTTAAAGGCAGCTGCCATTCCCTACTACTCACACTTTAATGAATTCCTTCCTTCCCTACAGTCATTCAACCTGCCTGAGAATTCTTTCTCATTCAAGTCAAGCACCCTCCTCGGTCCAGACGGAAGATTCTTCTAGTGCTTCACCTATGGTGCAGGGAAAGACCTCCCGAGACAGAGCTGCCCAGCCATAGTACTGGCATAAGAGAGACAAAAAGATCAATCGAAGAGAATAGAGTCCAGAAATAGACACATGTATATACACCAACTCATTTTTCACCAAGGTGCAAAAGCAATTCGCTGAAGAAAGGATAGTCTTTTTAACAAATGAGCTAGAACTGGATATCTATACACAAAAAAGGTGAACTTTAATCTATATCTTATACCACACACAAAAAACTCAAAACAGATCTTAGACCTACAAGTAGAACCTAAAAAATCGTAAAACTTTTAGGAAAAAAAGAAAAGAAACAATTAAAAAATGGGTAAAGATTCCAATAGGCACTGCACCAAAAAAGATTAAGAGTGGAAACAAGCACATGAAAACATGCTCAACATTACTAGTAAGAGGAAGATGCAAATTACAGTCACAACAATCACTAAACAATTATTAGACTGGCTAAAATTAAAAAGACTGACCACACCACGTGTTGGTAAGGATGAGGAGAAACTGCAACTGGATCTCACACACGGCTTCTGGTAATGTAAATATGTAAAAAAGCTCCAGAAAACAAATTCCACTTGTTTCTTAGAAAGTGAAACATACCTACCATATGATCCAGCCACACTACTCTAACTATTCATCCAAGAGAAAGGAAAACATATGTCCATACATACTTATACACAAAACTTCACAGCAGTGTTATCTGTGATGAACTGTAAATTGAAGGGGCAAGAGGAACAGATGACAAAGCTGAATAAATACTTGTGGGGGTGATAGATATGTTCTTTATCATGATTATAGTGGTTTCATGAATGTACACATATATCAAAATTTTTCAAATTGTACATACACTTAAAATAGGTGCACTTTCTGTACATCAATTATACCTCAAATATATGCAGTGTTTTTGTAAATCATACCTCAATAAAGCTATTTGTAAAAATGGCTGAAGACAATGAATAGCCACTGACAATTTTTAAGACAGAAGAATACAGTTAAATCTGTGCTTTAGGAAAGATGATTTGGGAGACAATGTGGAGGACAAAAGGGAGGGGAAAGAGACCAAAACAAGGATTTTCATCTGCAATGTATTGCAAAAGTCCAAGTAATAAAATGAGAGACTATGTAAGTCAGTCTCTTTTCCCATCTTTCCCTACCTGTAAAATAAGGGTACTAGTTATTATGAAGAACAAATGAAATTACACGAAAATGCTTTCATGCTATGGAGAACACACAAATATTAAAATACTATTGCAATTATATACTTGTAAGTCCTCCTTGTCTCTTTCTTCTAATTTAATTATGGTACATCAGTGGTCTCCTAGAACTCCTAACCTGCTCTCAAATACAAGGCCATCATTCTCCTTAGTATAGGAACTTGCCTGGACTACAAGCATTCTGGTATTCAAGAGAACTGTATATTTAACCCAAATCTAATGACATTTCAGATTCTCTACCCTTAAAGTTAAAAAGGTAAGCATTCACCACTTGCTTATCCAACAGTCTTTTCATTCCCAACTCCATACCTCATCCATTGACATATCCCATACTTTGCAAATTTCATTCTCCATTTCTTCATCAAGCTCCATCTGATATTTATCATCATCATCTGAGCCGGATTTGGTGTTCTCAGGGCTAACAATCTTCAGAAACATAAAGGAAGAAAAAAGATGAATAAAATCTGTCCATAGTACTCAAGTAATATCATCCCATAACAATTTAAAGTCACAAAGACACTATGCTTAAAATACCTTATCTTGCGAAAACCTTGCTTAAAAAAATTAGTGCCTTGGGCGGGTCTATTCATTCAACATTCATGGAGTAAATACTGTTGCTAGGCACAGAGGTAAGCACAGGGGTAGAAATACAAAGATGAGTAAGATTTAATCCCCTGCCTTCAAGCAGTTTAGGATCCAACGGGGAAACACATGTAAACTGATAATCACAACAGAAAAGGTGAAGTGATTTGACTTAACTGTGGACAAAGAGTTCTAAAAGCAAAAGTGATGAACCAAACCACGGCAACAACACAACACAAAGAAATAAAAGGTATCCAGATTGGTAAGGAAGAGGTTAAACTGTCACTGTTTGCAGATGATATGATATTGTACATAAAAAAACCCTAAACAATCCACCACAAAACTACTAGAACTAGTAGCTGAATTCAGCAACATTGTAGGACACAAAATTAATACACAGAAATTTTTTGCATTCCTATATACTAATGATGAACTAGAAGAAAGAGAAATCAGGAAAACATTCCATTTACAATTGCATCAAAAAGAATAAAATACCTAGGAGATGAAAGACCTATACCCTGAAAACTACTCATGAGAGAAATTAAAGACACCAATAAATGGAAATACATCCCATGCCCATGGATAGGAAGAATTAATATTGTCAGAATGGCCATCCTGCCTAAAGCAATCTACAGATTCAAAGCAATCCCTCCCAAAATACCAAAAGCATTCTTCAATGAACAAGAACAACTAGTTCTAAAATACATATGGACCACAAAAGACCCTGAATAGCCAAAGCAATCCTGAGAAGGAAGAATGAAGCTGGGAAACGTGGGAAGAAAGAAGTCCACATTTACTGAGGGCTCCTATCAGCCAAATACCAAGGTAAACACTCCAGGGCCATTGTCATCTTATTTAACCTACACAATATAACTCTGTATACAGTAATATTACCACCCCACTTTATGTAAAGTGAGAAAAAAATCGAGCCTCTGAGAGGTTAGGTGACTTGCCCAGATTCATGCATCTAGTAGGCGATGATGAGGCCGCGCATTTGATTAAGAGCAGTAAGACTCTTAAATAAATCACCATTTATTCTATTACGACAGAAGTCCACGAAATAGTTAATTTAGGACCTAGGCTTCGGAAACGACAGTGGCAATGGTGAGCAAAAACCCGAGTAATATATTTACATGGTTCATGTAGTTTTGGAAAATCTGCAAAAACAAAGTATTTTTACCCGCAAGCATTCCAGCATCCCTGCCATTATACTTGTCTTTGTGCTGAGGGCATGGGGGAGTGGCTCTCGGCAGTTTCGGGGTCCGCGGAGGCGGTCACGACGCACAGCGCGCGGGCCCCGGCGCGCGGGCCCGGGGAGGGGCCGTGGTGGGGGTGGCGGCGCCCCGGGCAGGAGGGCGCTGCCAGAGGTGCGGCCGGGGGCTCTGGGGAACGGAGGGGGAGCCCACGCGAGATGCGAGTTTCCACACCTGGATGAGCCCGCTAAGGACGCCGAAGAGCCAGTGCTTGCTGTAGACCGTGCTGCCGATGCAGTCTCCTCCGGCCACCTCCTCCTCCTCGTTCTTGTCCCGACTGGGCGGCGGCGGCGAGGGATTGCGATCCATGACACGGCCACCGACCGCCTTCAGGAGCTGCGCCGGAAGCCGCCGGAGGAAGCGAGAGGCCGCCTGGCGCCAAGAGGGCCCGGCGCGCCCGGCGCGACTCCTGCCACAGCGACCCCTGCTGCCCGGGGCCTACCAGAGCGCCCACTCCTATGCCCATCATGCTTGGGAGCCCAGAAGACTTATCTTGGTCACCCCACCCTACCCAGGACCCAGGCTCATGGGAACCGTGGAATACACTCACTGAAGGAATGACTAAATGAACTACTACACACAAAAGTGTTTTACAAGCTCTAAACTTCAATACAAATGCTAGTTACAGCAAATAGTTAAGAATGTTGGCTCTAGCAGCAAACAGTGGGATTTGGATACATATTTGAACAGTTTGTGCCTCAAGTTTCCTCAGCTATAAAATAAGGAAAAGTAAAATGTGAGGGTCCAATGGGATAACACACAAGAAAACAGAGCAGTGGCTGGCCCATACTTAACTCAATGAATGTCAGCTGTCATTACTATCATCCTACTATTAACTAGTGTTAGAGGAACTTAAAAACCAACCAGCATGAGGACTGACTTCATACAAACCACTGACTCTGACAAGGATAAAAACAGATTCCCCAGAAGGCATGAACAAAGTGAGATGAGGCATTACTGTTAAGGTTTAGGGGCTGGCAGATTTGGTGCACTGGGAAGCTGGTGTTCTGTACTGGTCTGATCCACCAACTGGGGAAAGAGAGAAGGGAAATGACTTTGAAAGGTATTTCTAATCACCATGAACACGGACTGGTTAACAACTGGATCTGGAAGGAAAGGATGGGAGAGGAGAAAGATTCCTGGAAATCTTTCAGGATCTCCACGTCAGGGAGAGAGACCACAGAAGGACCCAGATTCCTGTGAGGCCTCTAGAAAAAGACCCCTACCAAAACTTCGTATTAAACAATTAAGCAAAAGCAGAATCACTTTCATTCTCTAAAGTAAAATATCAAAATAGGAATATAAGCATTCTTCAGTGAAGATTAGTTAAAACTAAAAAGCCAGGAATAACCTGGCCTGGAATGTTTGAACATCCCCCAGATAAGAAAGTACCTCCGCATAGCCTGTGTCTCCACTGTGTGAATTAAATGAGGCTATTGTAAAATTTACTTTAGCCTGCTAAAAGGCCCAGTTTTATCTTTAACTTTACCCAGATGCTGCTTTTCCTCCTCCAGCCCCTAATCAAGTAATATATAACCTGAGCAAATAATATAGCAGGCAGGCCCAGCCCTCAACAACATAGTGAAGGGAAGGAAGGATTCCACCTTTAAGATAAGATTGCATTTTAACACCCAAGAAGTTAAGAAGTAAGGTTCTTAACTTATCATTTAACAAACAGACAATAACTCAGCCCATCTTGGGAGCAAGACAGGCAGCCTTGATTGATAGGCTCCCAAACCAAGAAACTTCTATTCTAGGAAAGAACCAAAGCAGTAAATTTCTTATGTTAACTCTGCAAAATAGTCCGGAAAACTGGTAAGAAACTTAGTGTCTCTTCAAAGATAAACATTTGGAGACCATCTAGTGGGTCTGCATCCCTAGCTCTTTGTCTCTCAAGTGCCTATAAATCTCCTAGACAAAGGGCTCTCTTGTCCCCTCCTGGCGCAAGCCAGGAGCTCTGTCTGTCCTCCCACTGTCTCGCTCAATAAAAGTCTCCCTGGCTCTCCTACCTTCACTGTGTGCTAAATTCATTCTTCAACTCCGCAAACAAGAACCCCGGCATCAGACATGCAGTGCTACCCAAATTACTATTATTGGTTATTAGTGTCTTATCCCCTTTTTAAAAAAAGAACACCAGTAATGATTATTGATCATCCCCATGGTATTAAACAGGCTCATATTCCCAGAAAGACTGTCATATGCTGTTTCCAGAAGCCAAGACAAATTGGATTTCACAAGCATTTATTGAACAACTTTTTTGCTCTTTATGAATTATCAAGGACTATGTCTATACAATTCAACAGCCTAGCTGAGCACCTGTCCCAGTCCTGAGGGGGCCCTGAGCCCGCCTCCTGGGAGCACCATGAGGAGGAAGCTCAGTACTTGGCAGGCAGCCTGGCGGGTCTGAAGTGATTGGGGTCCGGGAGTAGGCTCCGGCCCCACTCATTGGCAGCCTGGTCCGCCCTCGAGTCCTCCACTCCATGGCCACTGTCTCCATATTTAAAAAGGTCTGTGACTCTGAGAATTCTCTCTGGCATCGCTGGAAAGGAGGTAAAGGTGGACAACAGTCAGGGGCTGCTAAACAACAGCCCCGCCCTCCGTGCCCCTCCTCTTCCCAAGAAATTA